AGGGCCTCTATGGAATAAAAGATGACGTCTTCCTTAGTATTCCTTGCATCTTGGGACAGAATGGAATCTCAGATGTTGTGAAGGTGACTCTGACACCTGAGGAAGAGGCCCGTTTGAAGAAGAGTGCAGATACACTTTGGGGCATCCAAAAAGAGCTGCAGTTTTAAAGCCTTCTGATGTCATGCCGCTTCACTGTCTAGGGTACAACAGGATTTTAGTTGGAGGTTGTGCATATTATCCTTTTTATCTGATCTGTACTAAAGCAGTAATATTAAGACAGCCTAGGAAAAACATGAATTTCCTAATGTTAGAAATAGGAATGGTTCATAAAACCCTGCGGCTATATCGTGATGCTGGGTGGTACTTATCTTGTCCTAAGCTGGTTAGTGTGAAATAGTTCCACCCCTTCAAAGGCACCACCACTGCCATTGTCACACACGCTACAGTTACCCTTCAAACTAGACGTGTGTTTACTGTGCATTATGTAACTTCTGGTTCCTTTACCCTACGTGCCTAGTCTAACTTTTTTCCAGCCTCACATCCTGGGATCCAGTGTATTGCAAATGGAAAATTGCATGTCTTGTTTGTAAGTGTTCTAAAGGATCTTATTTTGTGTACTAAATGTATCAGAGTATACTGAAATATAATGTAAAAAGAAAAGTCTACATACAAATAATGCAGCCAACTATCCAAGTGTCATGTAAACAAAAATGCCAAATAAACCTTGAACAGTGACTTCTCTGTGAATTTATTAAGATACAAAGTCATAAAGCTGCTATTCATTACATTATTGGGAGCCTTTAGGTTATTCTTGGACAACCTTGCAATGATCTTTTTAAGGGGTACTGTTTACTAATGATCAGACTTTGGTTTAATGAGTCACTAAGGGTCTGACTAGACTGGTAAGGTTGTTTGGGTGCCATTTCTGTTATAATCGTTTTAATATACTAAGCCCTCAGGTATTATATAAGATAACTTTATAATAGTGCTAATCATAATGAGTACCCTACAACTTGTGTAGATAACATTCTATACACCAATGTAAAAAATATTGGCCAACTAAACATAAGCAGTGGTACTTTACCATTATAGGGGGGACACAGATTTTTAAGAACTTTTGCTCTCTGGAGGCCAGTAACCATGGTATAGTAGTCCCCCTTTATCGGGGATACGTTCTAAGTCCACCCAGTGGGTGCCTGTACCTCAGATAGTACCAAACCCTATATATACTCTTTTTTCCCCCATACATGCATACCTATGATAAAGTTTATAAGTTAGGTGCAGGAAGAGATTAATAATAGAACAATTACAACACTAATACAAGTTATGTGAATGTGGCATTATTAAGTAAAATGAGGGTGACTTGACTACAAGCACTGCGATAGCACAAACAGTTGATCTGGTAACAGATGGCTTACTAAGTGACTAATGGTCAGGTAGTACATACAACGTGGATAAGCTGGACAAACGGATGATTAATGGCCCGGGAAGAATGGTGCAAGATTTCATCTTACTCAACAGTGTTCAATCTAAAACTAGTGAATCATTTATTCCTGGAATTTTCCATTTAATATTTTCAGACAGCAGGGTAACTGAAACTGTGGAAAATGAAACTGCGGATAAGGGGGGCTGCTATACTTAATAATTTTAGGCGAAATAGTTCTGGTGGTTGTCTACTCAAAATTTTTCTCTCAATATTTCTATAACTATGATCCTTATGCAGGCCTAAAAACCATACTTCTAGAGGTTAACTATAGAACAACTTTTTGTCATCATTTTTCTAGGATCTTTTCCCAAAGTTTCCTTTATGAGAGCTAGTTAAGGGAAAGAATTACACTTTTTTTTTAATGTGTCTCAAATGTCAAAGGACAAGACTGACCTACAGAGTCTTGACAGATATAGGATTTGCTCTCTTATAGGCTTTAAAAAAAACAGCCTTAAGATACAATTTACAGACCATAAAATTGACTCAAAGTGTACAGTCCTGTGGATTCACATAGTTGTGCACTATCACCACTATCTTAGGACTTTGGAATTACCCAATAAAGAAATGTGTTCTTATCCTTACAGCCTTTTGTAAGTTGAGGCACCTTCAGCCTGTTTTAAAAAACGTATTTACATTTACTAATTGCATATTGATACAATATGTCCACACCAAAATGACTGAAAAATAATGCTTAAGAGAAAGATTTAATCTTTCATAAATTTTCGGATTTAATCTTGCTTTCTGGCACAATAAGCGTTCCAGGTTTATCTTTCCTCAGACAAGGAATAGGCCAACTCTGCAAGGAGCCCTAGTTTTTAATGGAATCTGATCTTATTTTAGTCTTAGTATCTTGAGAAGTGGATTAAGCCCCATCTCACACAAGTTGCCAATTAGTGGGGGAAGCAAATGGGATGGTCAGAACACGGTCTTTTGGTCTTCCATACATATAGATGGAAAGGCCTATGTCTCCATATTAATGTCTATAGATGTAGATATGTAGATATAGATACATAGATTTTCTTTTTCCACTAAAGCCTGTGTTGCCAAAATAAAACTATCAGGTCTTCAAAGCTATGTTCTTTCAAATTCTTGATGTGTGCCTACTATTCTTTGGTAGATGTTGGAATATGCAAGGCAAATCTTAACTCTCCTGTATTTACATAGCTGCAATAAAGCAAAATGGTAAGTTAGCTTGGATCGCAGTCACCCAGAGAACCCACTCAGGCAGAGGATGTCAAGTGCCTGCCAATGTCCCTGTGCCTTGGGCAGGTATGAATGAAGAGCTTCTTCCTTCACTTCAGGAGTTCGGTCACTCCTTCTGCCACCAGGGGCATGAGGCAGATGTAGAGCTTGAATTTGGAGGTCATCCAGGCAACCACTGTCCCCCTCTCAGCCATGTGGTACAAGAGGCACAAGGGCAGAGAGTTGTGGAAGGAAGCACACAAGTAGGTGGTAGTACAGGACCAGCAGTGGCTGCCACGCCTGACTACTACAGGAACCTCTTGCTTGGGGCTGTTAGTAGGTTGTGAAAATGCCGTAAGAGAAACAGGATATTTGCTAGGGAGGTGGTGGTAGTTGACACATTGGTCAAGGAAAGCAAGAGGAAGTGACATTTACGTCAAAACTGAAAACAAGGAATCAATTTTGAGAAGCTTTGGGGAAGAACTTTCCAATTATAAGGAAGAGCAAAAATGTCCAAAGCCAAGAAAAAGCTGTCAAATGCTGGAGAGTGCAGTGAGCGTGTTTTGAGATGAAGTTAGAGGGGTAGACAGGTAAAATTTACAATGTCTTTTAGGTTGTAAAAACTGGTTATTTTAAGTGTAATGGAAAGCTATTGAAGGGCTTAAGTAGGGCTATTGCATGATCTGAACTACATTAAAAACAAACCAATTATAGACTTTGATACAGAAGATGAATAACTTTAGATTTTTTTTTTAAAGATGCTGTTTTTTTTGTTTGTTTTTTAAGATTTTATTGGGGAATTGGGGGGAGGGGAACAGTGCTGGGGAATCAGAGGAAGAGGAACAGACAAGTTACGGTTGTTTTGTTCTTCAGTCTAGTTGTGCCCAAGCTGGCACCATCATTGTGCTCTTCCCGGGCGAGGCAGATCAGTCGCCAGCTTCTGGACAGCCACTCACAGCGGCTGCTGCCCGCTCACACTGGCTGCTGACTACCCACGGTAGCTTATGGCAGCCCACTGCAGCAGGGGCTGCAGCCTACACCGTCTCCAGCAACCTACAGCAGTCCAGCTCCAGGTTGAGCTGTTGTTCAGCATCTTAGCTGTAGAGGGCAGTGTCACTGGCCCTCATATGTGGGANTTCAGCCCGGTTCCGTTACCTAATGGGGGAAAGGCTGGGAGTGCACCCATTAAGCTGTCATGGGTGGGTCCTTGGGGAGCATGGAGACTCTAGTGGTAAGCAGAACTTATTTTGTCTTTCTGTTTTCAAATAGATTGTGTAAAAAATTGACAGGAGTTTTATTAAACCAGAGTCTAAATCAAGTAGATATCCATTCATCAGGGTTGAATGGTTTCCAGAAATCTATTTTTGGTATAATTATATGGTAAGAATTCTTAAGATTTCATTTATATGGCATACAGGATATGGAAATAATTTTTTTTTTATTGTATGACATTTATATGGCATACAGGATAAGGAAATAATTTTTTTTTTTACTTCTTACTATAGACATATTAAATAAGATAATAGTTCTTAGGATGACCTCAGTCATTTAATATCATAGCTGTTTAAATTTCACTTGCAGTGTTTGGCCCTGAAAAGTTTGGCCAAGTCAAATGGAGTGTATGAAAAAATTCTATTACTGTCACAGTTGAAAGGTGTTATAATTTGTGCAGAGTTCTCAGTTCTGTTATGCCAAGAAAATTCCCCTTATGATCTCATACTGTCTTTTTATTTCAAATAGATATGGATTAAGCATCCCAATAGGTTAGAAAAACAGTTTAGAATATAGTGAAAATTCTTTGTGTAATCTCAACAAATGAAAATCTAAAAGTTAGGGCATTGGTAGTCTTGAGCATCTACCAAAAGTGGGTAAATCCTCCCCAGATAAGAAAAGAGAGTTAGAAAAATGGGTCAGAATTACTAGTCTTCTGGCTGGTGTGTGGAAATGAACGTATTCTGTGCTATTTCTTTTAGTGCCTGTATGGAGTGGAGTGAATGTTGCTGGTGTCTCCCTGAAGACTCTGCACCCTAACATAGGCACTGATGCTGATAAGGAGCAGTGGAAAGAAGTGCACAAACAGGTGGTTGAGAGGTAATGTCTCTTAATTTGACAACATGGAAGGTGAAAATTTATTACTTTTATTTAAAAGACTAAAAGCATAATAGCATTTGCATTTGAGTACTTCTTTAGAGAGAAACCTCGTTTTCCAAAGCTTTGTTAAAGATCATACTATCAATAGAGGTAAAGATAATTAAAAAGTACAGACTTTTTTTTTTTAATGCTGTAGTCTGTCTTCTTTTACTATAATCCTCAGCTTAGAGCTTTTATTGTAAACTATTAAGATACAACAAGTTAGATTAAACCTACCCTATTTGAGTTCAGTCTTTATTTCAAAAGCATATATGATTGATGCATTTAGGAAAAAAAATTTAAATTCAAGTTCCTAGTCTTTATGGATAGAAACACATCTAGCTTCTTGTTTGTTCCAATGATTATAAAGTTTTAGGCAATGTCCAGATTTATTGGGTTGTCGGAAAAGTCGTGATGCATTTTTGCAATGCAAAACAGAAAAAATACATCATGACTTTTCTGACAACCCAATATAATGGTACTAAAAATGTAAATGTTTATTAACTGTTAGAAATTGTTGAAATAAAGAAACTTTCAACTTTTGGTGGTATTATTTATTTATTATAAATCATGTGGTCATGTGTGGACTCAGGTCTACTGACTTGAATAATGAATCGTGATTGGTCTAGGCAAGGCCCTCTTGTTTGTATTTGTTTAAGTAAATTGTGTGAACCCACCACCCAACCCAAGAAACACTGACAATAGCTGTCAACTAACTGTAGTGTAGGGTCAGGATTACTAGTTCACTGGTGCATGAAAATGAGTGAATTCTGTATCCTTCCCACTCATCCCTCCATCTCTCCCCTACCCCCTCCCCCCCCACACACACACTTGAGATAATCCTGCGTCAAGCATGCGATATGTAATCTTCTTGGATTTACTTTTTAAATTCAATATTATATTTTTAAGAATTATCCCTTTTGTTGCATGTCACTACAATTGCTTGTTTTGACAGCTATATAACATTCCACTGCATGAGTATACTGTAGTTTATTCATTCTTCTGTTGGAGAGCACTGGGCTTGTTGCCAGATTTTTGCTTCTGTTGACAATACTGCCGTGAACATCCCTATGCATTATACCCTAGTATACATGGCAAGGGCTACTCTTTATGTGTATAATGCAACTTGGAGGCATTCTTTACTGTAACGCTTCTGTTCGGTGAAAGCTTTGTTTTTCTTTATTTCCCCCATCCTACTTCTTCCTGCCCTTCCCTGTCCTTCCCTACCCTACAGTGCTTATGAGGTGATCAAACTGAAAGGCTACACATCCTGGGCCATTGGACTATCTGTGGCAGATTTGGCAGAAAGTATGATGAAGAATCTTAGNTTTAATGTACAGGATAGGAGAGCCTTTGAACAGTTTTGCATTGGTACCTTTTGATATCAGATTTTTAATTTCTAGTAAATGGTTTTAAATGGATGTCTAGTTTGTCCATGAAGTGAAAATCATCTGAGTTAGAATGTAATTAATAAAGCACCTTAGGTCCATATTTAACCACATTGCTTCAAATATTTAAGTATACTTACTTTCCCTACTTCCTTTCACACACTAACATAAGTTTGAGAATAGGGTAATTGAGCCTGTTCAGTAGATACTCTCGACTTTGATCATTTTTATGAGCACCAGCCAGGACACCTGGACATGGATCCAAATAGTATCTGTTATTTTTATTTAATTTTTTTTTAAGCTGAGCCATTTTGCTACCTGTTGGCAACTCAGCGGCTGCTCAGCTCGGGCTGGGAATCGAGCCGCTGTTGCTCAGAGCTCAAACTCTTGAGCGAGCTCTTAACCAACTGAGCCACTCGGTGGCCCGATAGTATCTGTTTTGACATTTGAAATCACTTATCTGATAAGTGATTCCCTTCATTTGCTTCATCCCTGGGTTAAGTATCCTGTGCCATAGGGTATCAAGAAACAATTCCTTGATAAGTATAAAGTTGCCTCTGCTTTAAAAAAACAACAACAAAAAAGGCCTGTCTTTGGGCTGATATGACCCCAGTTAAATAGTTAAGTAGAAATAGGAGTACGGAAGAGTATGAACATTGAGCTCAGGTGACAAAAAAATTGGCAGTGTATCTCATTTGATATGAGAGCCAAATAAGTTTGATTCCTTTCAGCTTTGCCCAATTGTAGTTAAAGTCACAATGTGACTAGAACCAGAATACAAGGAAGACAATAAACTTCCTCCATGTAAGTGGCCACGGCAAAAAAATTCCAAAAACTAAATAAAGGTGGAGTCTAAGGGGCATTAGGGACATTTTTATGCCACATACACAAAACACATAAAACTGTCGATAAAAAAAGTTTATGGAACAAATTTTTGCTGGCTGAGTAGTGGAGTTCTTTTAAAGGCCTTAATCTGATTATTGTTTCCCTTTGTTTAGACTATAATGTGACTGCAAACTCCAAGCTGGTTATTATCACAGCTGGGGCACGTCAACAAGAGGGAGAAAGCCGTCTTAATTTGGTCCAGCGTAACGTGAACATCTTTAAATTCATCATTCCTAATGTTGTGAAATACAGCCCCAACTGCAAATTGCTTATTGTTTCCAATCCAG